CTGAAAACGTCTTCAGAATGTATTTTTGAAAATTTATGTTGTTTGAGGTGTAAATGTGTGCAACGGGCATTAGGTGTAAAAGTGTGAAAAGTACAAGCAACTCGAACAAACCTCAGGTCTTATATGATCTCGGGAACGTCCCGATTGACCACGGTACGATTGGACACAACCAACCGATGAAAAGAATTATTTAGTGAATTACTAGGTCGAACCAATCATTACAAACTGTGTCCAATCGTATTGTGGTCAATCGGGTCCCACCCATGATCTCTGGATAGCGATCATGAATCTTTTCCCCTAGTGCAATCTCGTGAAAAGTGAAAATTTTGTAATGAACTCATGAAAGATGAAAACCTTCACTAAACTCGAAAAATGAAAGATTTAACGTGAATTTGTAAGTAAAACAAATATTACAATATACTCAAGACAACACCAATTTGCAATGGACATCTTTAGAATTTTTTCAACATGTTTTTAAGACATAGTGATGTCTTTAGAACGTCCCTTGGAAGTCTGCTTGTCTGGGATTACTTTAGGATAAATTATTAAAAGATAAAATATTTTATTCATATTAAAATTATAAATCTGCAGAAAATATATATTTCATATAAAATAATACATAAAATACATGCAATAAATACATAAAATAAATTTACATTTTACTTACTGCATACAATTTATAATATATTACACTTTAACTTTCTGATGCATACGTATCTTAAGTTTGCAAACTTCGTCAGTATGCTTTTACTGCCTATACGTCATCACGCTTCAATTGGTTTTCGTTGTTCATTTTTAATGGACGTAGGATTCTTATGTCAAATGCCAATTGTCGTATAACCATAAAAATTAAAGTTACTATAAGAAATTCTACTTTATACATAATATGCGAGTGTAATTACATTATTTTTCACACTTAAACCACATTGCTTGATGCTTAAAAATTTTCATGGAAACTTACACAATTTACATGTAAAGAAGAACATATACGAATAAACTAAAAGTTCACGTGAAATATTTCACGTTTTGAGAATTCACCTTTCACGGTTAACGTTCGTCTCATTTATTAAATTTACTCATATTATATTATTATACTATATTATATTATAACTATAAAGGACCCCGCACAAACCTTATGGAAAATGGGTCCCGGTGGATTTGGCTGAAACTTTGGAAATTTGTAGTTTACGTGATCCTGATGAAAAGTTCTCATTGTCTCAATTTGATTCATTGAGCCGTATGAGTCCTAGGAACCGTCAAAAGTAGGAAATAAGCGACTGCCATCGCCACTGTATAACCATCTGGTAATTCCTATCCCTTCCCTACGCTCTTCCCATTTCTCTTTCTCTCTTCCCCTCTCCCTTCCTCTCTCTTTCTCCTCTCTCTTCTTCTTTAATTAGTTTCCGTTATTTTATGTTAGCTTGCTTTCATTTACATTACTTTACGTGATTTGTCCAAATACCTTTTCTTGCGATGAAGGAATGAGGATTTAACGTTATATCAGATCCAATTGGATCAT